TTGCCCTAATAAAGAAATTACCTAATATGTTCCATTATGAGAAATCCTGTTACAACAAATTGTAGAATTTCCAAAGATCTTTACCTTAATGTTATTAGATATGACACAGATGGGATGTGAACATATTGTCTTCATGCTTTGAAAATAAGCAGTAGCTCCAGCAGTCTCTAAATTCATTCTGTTTGAAACACTGCTCCTATGGGAAAATTGCAGAGACAAAGAAGGCATCAAAATATATATGGTTAAAAGCCCTCCTAAAAAATTATTTCTATGGAAGTACAAAATGGATGGAAACTACAGAGGCTTTCCAACAAAACTTTCCAGCAAACCCAGGAAAACATGCAGAAATCATGCATAGCCAACCCTGGTTAAGTAATGAGAAGGTCAAGGACACATGGGATGGAAGGTAAGGAGCAAAGCATGAAAAATGCATTTCTTCTGTAATACAGATCATAACATGATAGTTTCAATTAAAGTAGCATCCCACTCTAGAGCATGTTTATTCAGAAATCACCACTACATTCTCACATTTTTATAATGTATTTTAAATAAATAAATACATTTCTAGAAGGCATGCTTTCCACTGATGCTGCACACATGCCCTGACACAAGACTTCCCCAGTGAACACAAAAGTTTACACAAATCCCCAGTGCAAACATGTCCTGCGCTCATATGGTTCCTGGTCCATCAGTTGCAAGATCTTGCATGCAGATGTCCAACTTGTTAGCTAGCTTTTGTTCTTAATCCTTTCCCCCCTGGTCAGCCCAGGTCAATAAATACCCAAATGCCCAGGAAAGCTGTCCACCAGCCTCCTATACAAAAGGAGCAGTCATCCTGATCAAAGGGCCTTTTAAGGCTACCTAAGATTGGGTCCTGCTGCAGTTAATCTGGGCCAAGCAGTATAACTCACATAAACAAGCACTTCCACCCCAGATGTCCATGCCACCGCGCCACCTCGTGGGGCAGTGAGCTTGGGAGAACCTGAGACTCTGGGTGCCTGCAATAAACCCATGCGCAATGGTGTTCTAAGGCCCAATCTATTACCATTTCCCTGCCTGCAAAACGATCAGGATAACCAGTGTCTGTGCTCCTCCAAAAGAGGGAGAATTGACTGATTTTACCATCATTCTTGCCCAGGATAAAGGTGCAAAGAACCTGCATCCCAAATCCGGCCTTTGTCGCCATTTGTCAGAGTCTCCTTACCAATGGTGAAAATGAATACCAGGACCCACAGGGAAGACTGAATCCCCTTGAATCCCAGCATTTTTATTGGTGAGATCACCCAGGCCCCCCTGCAGTTACCTGTAGTCTTCTCTGCCAACTACAAGCTTTTAGAACATGGGTCCTCAAACTATGGCCCGGGGGCCGGATCTGGCCCACCATGTCCATTTGGACCCACCGCGTGCAAGCCCGCTGCTGCCCACCTTGCCCCGCGCATGGGGAAGCAGTGGTTTGCTCACTCGGAAAAAACGATCTCCGAGTGAGCAAGCCGCTGCCTCGTGTGCTCGCCTCATGGCACGTGCACCCCCCCCCGCCTTGCCTTCCCTTGCCGCATGCGTCTGCCCATGCCTCAGTGAGCGCCTGGCCCCCACCTCAGCGGGCGCACCCACATGCACCGCCCCCACCCCCTCGCCAGCCCATGCACACAACCAGGCACCACCTTTCCGGCTTGCACCCAGCACCAGCACCTTTCAACTGGTCCCCTGGTCAAAAATTCTGAGGACCCCCATTTTAGAACATACACAAAGTGTTTTATAGATTCTGAGTGACATGACACAGCAGATCAGGTGATGACAAAGTAAGGGGAACATAGTGAAAAAGAATGTGAGAGATCTGCAGAGGAGACTTAATACAATCGGGTTGATTACAAGAGACTAACATAATGATCACTGAGACACAGGGATTATTGTGGGTCTTGACATGCAAATGAGAGTGATTGCAATACTGCTAGAAAAACTTGTCTGGCCACCTTATCAGTTTTGTTTGCTGTTAGCCCAAGAATAACCAGGGGTTAAGTTTCCCTGGGAGCCTCATTCTGGAAAGGCTTTTCCAACCAAAGGTAGTAGCCATCTCTTAAAGCAGGGGTCCTCAAACTTTTTCAATAGGGGGCCAGTTGAAAGGCTGCGGTGACTGTTGCGGGCGGGTGAGGTGAGGGTGCCCAGGCGCGTGGGCCAGTGAGGTGGTGGCTCGCTCGCTCGGAGATCTCCCAGCGAATCCAAAACCATCTCTGAGCAAGCAAGCCACCACCTCCCCGCTCATGTTGTGAGGCACCAGCAAGCGCGCGCGTACTGGAGGCAGGCGGTGACGGCAGCTTGAGTGAGCCAACACCTCCCTGCCTGCACAGCAAGTGCATGCGGGCAGTGAACAGCAACATGGGCAGGATGGATGGCCCTGGCGGGCTGGATCTGTCCCGCAGGCTATAGTTTGAGGACCCATGCCTTAAAGGAACAGCTTAAAAATAACACTAAACTGAAACCTGTCTTGGAATTCTGGTACTTTCTGAGAAAGAGGCGCAGAGATGCTGCAGGTTTGATTTTATAACACAAAGGCACATATTAACCTTTTTCTACCAGGATTTATCTCAATTTCCCCAACATATCTACCCTGATACAGATGAGAAGGACGGAGTGTCTAAAACTAGTAAAGTTTTTTATTTCCCATGCTGTCCTAGTCCTGAATTTCTTTATAAAACATCTGAACCTTACTATATTGCTAAAAGAATCCTGTCTTTCCTTGTAAGAAAGCACCCTACTTTTGGAGAGCAGGGATGCAATGCTTTTTTTTTTTTTTTTACTCCATACAGATCCAAAACCACTTTAGGACAACGTTCCTCATGTTGGTGCTTTCCATTTATTTCGGACTTCAGCTTCCATCTGATCCAGCTAGTAACTAGGCCAATGGTCAGAAATGCTGGAGTTGCGGTCCAGACTATCTAGATGGCACCTATTTAGAGAAGATTGCTTTAAGAACATAAACGACATTATACATAACTCGGTTTAGCGAAATCTGGTTTAAGGAAAACCAGGGGAGATTTAAGTCATGATTTAAATCACTAAATCATGATTTTCTACATAATTTGCACATATTCCTGCCTTACTTGTAGGTAGAGGAACTTCATTAAAATTTTGCCAAACTGGGTCTCTTTTACGTCCTGCTGCAATTATAGGTTTTCCAGGGAAAGAATAATATGATAAACCTCAAGCTATACACAAAAAGATCCAAAGACTTGTGCTCAAAGAATTTTGCATTCATTTTTACTGATTGCCCCTCCCTCCTCACACTCAGCTTCTTCTGCAGATTTATTCCACTTAGCACTTAAGAGGTAACAGGTTGATTCTGTGTATAGATTTGCAAAGGAACAATGGAATTAAGATCTTTTTTCTCAATGCTGTATGTTTATTTTATAACATTTTTGCTGTGAAGAGGCACGTGATCACTGCAGACAAAAATCCACAGTTTTGAGAACTGTAAATACAATCTGTGGTATCTTTTAGATAGAAAAATTGTCCAATAACCAAAATCTCATGAAGAGCATGGCATTATGAATGGATTAATGGAAATCACTTACCAAAAAATTTAAACTTTGCATGGATGTACAGCCTCATGCTACATAATTAAAAACTAATCCTTATTTCATACTAACCTTTGAACTATAATTTATCTTAAGTAGAAAACTATCTTTAGATAGATTTTTCCTCAAAAAGCATGTTATTTTTAAAAATCCAATTTAAATCAAAATCTGATTTAAATAAAAAAAAATCTGATGATTTTTATCCAACCTGAGGAAAACTATTGACAACTTATGTAGCTGGGAAAGATTCTTTTATCTATTACAGGAATGGTAACCAAAAAAATTTAACAAGAGCTTTTAAGCAATCTCAATTTATAATCTGAAGGGTGGCATTTTATTCCCTTTTGTAAAGGATCTCTCTGAGTAAGCACCTTTGTTTTTGCTGTTCATTTTGAAAGGTCTGCTCTACTAGTCATGTCAATCCCATGTCTTTATTGTAGGAACATAGCTACTGGGTTTTTTCTTAAATTAGATTTACTCTAGTGGCAGCATTGCCTAATGGTGAGGTCTAACCGGGAAACACAAAAAGCTGTGACAGTGAATTCCATAAACACAAGTCTCCAAGTGTGTTTTTTGTCAAAGAAGAAACTTCAGTGGGCTATCCAATACACTGCTGCATGACAAGTTGCATTAGCGCAGCTGCCACCTTCGCTACCAACTATTTCTGCATTTTATTGACGTCCCACCGCTTGCAAGGAACCCAAAGCAGCTTACACATTGTATCCATTTATCCTCACACCAAGTCTGTGAGGTAGCTCGGAACTTCGAGGCCCTCTCGGGAGGGGAAAGGAAGGACAGCAGTCAGGCTGCTGCTCTCGCTGCTCCTCAAAATAAAAAAAAACCGCTGCATTCCTGTATCGGCCCTTCGTTTATTCATCCCTTGCTACTTGTTTCCGAACCACAAATCTAACCTCTGCCTTGGAAGAACACTACAAACATTCATGTCATCCCCGCAGCTCCCCCGTCCCCTCTTTGGGACACACTCAGCAGTAGAACAGGTAGCCATCCAGAGCAGCGAAGGGCTCCTCGCGCCATTCGCCCCGCCCCGCCTCGCACGCCCCGCCTCTGGGGACCACTTAAAAGAGGGGAGGAAACGCCCCAGTCGTCGTTTCTGAGCTCCCGCGCCTTTCCTCGAAACGTCACCTCCGCTCGCGACCGGAAAAGGCGGAGACGGGAACCAAATTTGAATCCGGTAAGCTAGTGAGGCCATTCGTGGATTTCGACAGGTTGATCGTTCTTCCCGGTGGCGGACTCGGCAGCGCCCTTGAAGCGGAGGGCAGGTAGGCGAGGAAAGCGGGGGGGCGCGCACGCCCGGACGCTGCGCTTGGCGGGGAGGGGGCGTGTGGGGCCAGGCGTGTCCGTGCGGTTCTTCTGACTTTCTTCTCCCCGGTTGCCCTTCTCTTATAGGTAGAGGCTGCGTGCATTGGAGCGCTGCCTAATAGGCTAAAAGCTCGTTGCACTGCTACTACGCTCTTCCTTCAAAAAGTACAGGTGCGTTTCTTCTTGGCTTTGCCTCTCCTCTCCTTTTTAACCTTGTAAGGGACTGGCTGTGGAACTCGTGGTGGAGATTTGAGCCCAGCTTTGTCAGGTCTGTAGGCCAGGGCTCTCACCTCCACTTCCTAATGGCCAGTCCACCTTGTCATGATGCTTAGTTAATACTTTCCACTTCATGAACATGCAAATGATAGAGCATCCCTTATTGTATGCCACGGTTGAATGACTGGTTGTGGCCATGAAAACAGTGCCAAAGGGAATTGTTACTGGGGGAGTGGAGTTGTCTATTTGGAGCGTTATTATTTATTACATTTTTACCCCTCCCATTAGCTAGAGTGACTCTCTAGGTAGCTTACAAAATATAAAAGCAACAAAAATTTAATTTTATTTATCAAGAGAGGTACTAGTTCCCCTTTATTCTGCACTAGTCAGACCTCACCTGGAATACTGTGGGCATCCTGGCTTAAAAAAACACTGGAAAGGATTCAGAGAAGGGCAACAAAGATGATCCAGGGTCTGGAAACCAAGACCTACAATGAGATACTGAGAAAGCTTGACATGTTGAGTCTCGAGAAGAGAATTACAAGGGGCTGTGATAGCTCTCTACAAGTACCTCAAAGTCTGTCACAGTGGGGAAGGAAAAGATCTCATTTATTCTTGAGTGTAGGACATGGAACAGGCAACTTAAATTGTAGTACACCAGATTCAGGCTAGACACCAGGAAAAACTTCCTGTCAGAACAATGCTACAGTGGAACCAGTTGCCAAGGATGGTCATGGGCTTCCCCAGCCTAGAGACGTTCAAGGTGAAACTGGACAGTCATCTTGAGTAGGATGGTGTGACTTGGCATCCTGCACCAGCAGGAGGTTGGACCTGATGGCATTCTTGGCCCCTTCCAACATTACTATTCTATGGATTGACTGATTAGAGTATTTGTATACCTTTCACACTAGCTGAGTGGCTCTTGCATTTTATACAATGAATCAATAATATTAAATTAGATATGCATACTGCAACAATCCAATAAACCACAATTTAAAACAGAACCAGAAATTTGGGAAGCAACACTTTTCCCACCCTTGGGGAGAAGGAGGCATAATGTTTTTAGACTTTTTTTTTCCTGTTGGAAACCCTACCAGCTCTACAACAGCTCCAGTGCCTTAATTCATGGTGCAGCATAATCAGAGCTCAGCAAAGACTGTATCATAACACATTTAATCCAGGGTTTAAATTTATTTAACTGCACCACTGAATGTTATTGAAGGCTGATTGTATAAATAGGTCTTTGTGATTATGCACTTACTGATAAGGCCTCTTAAGGTTGCTGTTGATGTTTCCCTTTACAGGCAGTAGTTCCATGCTTGAACCTTGGCATCTTTTCCTTGATGTTCTAGTTGTAAAGAATGCCTATCCGTGCCCATTGTACCATTTGTTCTGATTTCTTTGACAACGAGAGAGATATTGCGGCTATTCACTGTGGACACACCTTCCACTACTTGTGGTGAGTATAAAAGGTGAAATTAATGGAGGAAAGTTTCTGAATAACCAGAATAACTCCATATTCTGTGCTCCTTTTTTCCCAGTAGTCACTTGATCATTTTTGTGAGATAATTGGTAGCATTTCAGTTTCTCAGGTTTCTTTTGTTCCATACAAATCTTGCTTTTGGTAGAACTGCACATACTACTGACTCAAAGGCTTTAAGTCATATTTTTGGAGTGTTCCCTCAGAGGGAAGATTCATAGGCTGGTAAGTAATAATAAATAAAGTAAGGTATCAAGAACATGGAGAGAAATGCTTAATTTTCTGTTACATTATTTGTCATCACCTGATAGTATAATTCTGCAGCTGCTTCCCTCTGTCGTCTCCTCTGTCTCTCGAGATACCTATGTTGGCCCTAGTCAAGATATTCGAAACACTGAATGAACCAGTGTTGAAATAATGCTGAGCCATTTCTAGGCTATTGCAGTGATTGGCACATTTATGAAAGAATTTTTATTATAATACTATTTATTCCAGATATGTTTCCATTCTATTCATCTTCTGTGGTTTGTATGAAAATGTTGATTTTTATTGTAAAAATTAGAAGCAAGACCACCTGTCTTGTGCCCTTCACAATACAGCAAACTGATGCTGCCTCCATGGCAATGTTAATCACCAGCAATAATGCTGAAGGTGTTAAGTGCTGTAATGTTGCATATTGAAACATAAGCGAAACCCCTGCTTTTGTTCTGGTATGAAGTGACATACAATGCAATTGTAGGCATTCTTTATTTGAACATGGAACTTACATGAAAGTCAGTGTGCATAGAAATGTATTTTTAAAATGTTGCTATCACTACAAACAAGATTAATTTGGCTGCCTTTCCTACTTGATATTCCCTCTCTAGCTTGTGTTATAAAGCTTTATTAGTTTATGCCATCTATTTTTGACATTTACTCAGTGTATTTCCCTCAGCCTTATCCAGTGGTTTGACACAGCACCAAGTCGGACTTGTCCACAATGCCGAATCCAGGTAAATTTATAGCCTGTAGTAAGCAAATTAATTTGTCATTCTGAGTGTTTTTATGGCTTATGTAGTATTTTACAATTCTGCTTATGATTGTGCTTTGCTACAGTGCTGTATTCCCAAAATAGTTGGGAACCAGTGCTGGGTATACATCCCACTTCAACTATGAATGTGCTACGTAGCCTTCGAAAGCTAAGGCTGTAGCTTGCCCATCTTTAAATATGCACAAGTGATATGTCTTTGAAAACTTTTGCAAATATATATAACTTAGTGGCAAAATATTTGTGTAAATCGGTGTTAGAGAAATAATATGATCATATTATTTAAATGAGGCTTGCAGAAAAGAAATATCTGTTTCTGCAGTGAGGAGCTCTATTGCAGTAGCTTCACTCATACTTTGGGGGTGTGGGGTAGCAGGAATGTTGGTAGAGCTAAGAGGCAATTTGAAAAGAGGGCCTATCAGTATTGCTCCTTTAATCATAAACTTTCTATAATGGCATACACTTACTGGTGTTTAGATAAACATTTGCCGTAGAGTAATATTCTCATTGCTTTCCAATCTGTCTTCCATAGACCTACAGGACACAAAATAACGGGCTTGACTTACAGGGAGACAGATTTCAATTGACTCTGACTGCTAGGAAGGTTCTCCTGATTCCATTGTCCATCACCTCTCTAGGCAATAGAACCGACTGCCTAGAGAAGTGATGGACTCCATCACAGGAAGTATTCAAACAAAGACTAGATAGTCATCTGAAAGATGTTTTAAGATGGATTCTTGCACTGAACTGAGGGTTGGAGTTCATGGCCCGAATGTCCTCTTCCAACATGTATAATACTCTTTCATGCTAAAAGAAAAATGTGAGATATAAATTAAAGGTTTGGTATACAGGAATGTTTGCTATATTTGTTCAGTTAAAATATTGCACTAGAAGAGATCAAGAATTCTACAGTATAACCATCTGCTCAATGCAGGCTGTGTATTTCAGGATACAGCTGTAGCATCCCTCCCCTATTGCCCTCCAGGCTGTGCTGGAATATTTCAAGTAAAGGAGAACCCATCACTAGCTGAGGCTGGCTGTGTCACTGTTAAACAGCTCTCATTGTGGGGAAGTTTCTCCTAATGTTTTGCAGAAATCTACTTCTCTGCAGCTTTCACCCTTTGGTTCTAGTCCTGCCCTCTGTAGCAACATAGACCTAGTTGTCCTTGTTTTCTGTAGGACAGGCTTTGAGATATTTGAAGGGTATCTTGTTTCCCCTAGACACTTTCATCTGGATAGAACTACCTACACACTCCCTCCCTCCCTCCCTCCCTCCAAATGACAAGACCCATCTTGGTGTTGTTCTTTGGATGTGATTTAGGCTGGCAAGATCTTTCATTGCTTTTGAGATTCCAGAGGACTGGAGGGTGATGTCCCTTGTCCCAAGTTTCAAAAAAGGTAGTAGAGGGGACATGAGGAATTACAGACTGGTTAGCCTTACATCCATTCTAGGAAAGACAATGGAAGATGATACTAAAATGGGAGCAGTAGCCACAACTGAGGAATAGGTACCCTGGATGCAAAAGGATCTGGACAGACTGTGGAAGCTGGCTGGAGACTACAGGATGGCGTTCAATGCAGATAAGTGCAAGGTCTTGCACTTGGGGCATAGGAATGGGTGTCATAAGTACAGGTTAGGGGACAAGTGGCTAGAGAGCAGCACTTGTGAAAAGGATCTCAGAGTGCTGGTCAACTGCAGGCTAAACATGAGTCAGCAGTGTGACACAGCAGTCAAGAAGGCAAACGCCACCCTTGGATGCATAGTTAGACGCTTGGCTTCTAGATTGCGAGAGGTATTACTGCCACTCTATATGACTCTGGTGTACCCGCAACTGGAGTATTGTGTTCAGTTCTGTGCCCCTCATTACAAGAGTGATATAGCAAAGCTGGAATTGGTGCAGTGAAGGGCCACATGGATGGTGGCTGGATTGCAGTGTAAGTCACCTGAAGAGAGACTGAGGGAACTGGGTCTTTTCAGTCTTGAGAAGAGGAGTCTCAGAGGGGATCTGTTAGCGATATACAGGTATGTGAGGGGGTGTCACACGGAGGTAGGTCATGACCTTTTTCCCCTGCAGATGAGGGCAGGACATGTTCCAGTGGAGCAAAGCTCAGGGAAACAAGATTCACAGTGGATGCAAGGAAGTACTTCCTGACAGTTAGGACCCCTAGGGTATGGCATGGGCTTCCACAGGAGATAGTTGAAGCCCCATCAGTGAGGGCTTTCAAGGATAGGCTAGATATGCACATGATAGGCATGTCATGAGTGGAGCCAACGAGCTGGAGGTCAGACTGGATGGCCCAGGAGGTCCCTTCTAACTTGCTCTGTTGCTTTACTGTGGCCCCACTTCAGTACTGTGAAACAGTTGGCATTCAACTGTTGCAGAATTCATATACTGGCAGATAATTTTTGGTTGCCTTGGCATAGAGGCCCAACTCTGGCAAAAGCTGAAATTCTGCTAAAAGTAACAGGATACTTTTATGTACTATTACTTTCAATAAAACTTGGGTGTGACTGACTTCCTTAGTATTGGGCTATAATCTTTATAGCTTTGCCCTTATTAACATTAGTAATTCTCAGCTAAAATCTGGTGAGCTATGCAGCTAGCTCCACTCAGGTTTGGACTTGCTTTCTGGAGCATCATCCCTCAGTGCATCCTGGACATCGGCTGGGAGTCCTACTGCTTACATACACATTATTGGTTGTACCTGAATGAGTATTTGGGATGCTAGCCATATGGTAGCATGCCTGGTAGTGTGGTAGTAATTACCAGAGTTGGGCCCTTCAGTGTCAATGCTACAGTTTTGTTTGCCATAGCAAATTTGAGGGCACATCATTTTGCAGCTGTCAGGCTGTCTGTGTGGTGTTGCCTTATTTTACTGATGTGTTTTTCAGTCCTTGCTAGGTCTTGGCCCTTTTTGCTCTTCCGACTTCTTGATTCCCTCTGTTCTTCACTGCCTCTTGCATCTCTGGGTTGCCATGGAGCTATCATGAAATAACATCTTATGTAGCAGTAACTATGCAATTAGCTGGTGTCATGACTGTATATAATTCTTAAAATACAAAGCTGTAGTGGCATGGGGGAGGTAGGGAGAGGTATCAAATTCAATTTCAGTGATTTTTTTAATAAAGCAAACAGCAGCTACTTGGATTTGGCACAGCATGAGCTCAGCCTCAGCTGCTGATCTGAAGCTGCCAGAGAACAAACTGCACTTCATTCCAAGGTGCTTGGATTATTTTGTCAAAATTCCAGAACTCTGCTGGAGTTATGGCTGCAAATTTGGAAAGCCTGTTACTGGAAGGATGAGCCAAAGGATTTCATAGTGACAGTTACCATGTGAAGCATGTCATATACTACCCTGTGTCACTGCGATGTGCCAGACAGATCACATTAATAGCTGCTGTGCCTGATCTCCAGAATGACTGTTTTCCTTCCATGCTGCCCACTGTAGTGTCTGACATTGTTTCGTTTTAAGGTCCAGGTAATCCTGGTTTGTATCTTGTATTTGCTGAGATGGTAATATTTACATTGTCTTCCAATATAATGAGAAATACTGTGTTAACCACCACCACCCCGCCCCGTGCCCCCAAACCACCACCACTGGTCTCCCAGAGTATTTTTGGGGGGATAGTGGAAGGAGAGAAGAAATCAATGGTTTTTGTTTTGCTGGTAGACAGGCAGATTTGGTTCTAATCTATTGTGTTTTAGCATCTATTTTTCCACATTTCTATCCTTGTTCTTTACCATGTTGCACGTAGGTTGGCAAACGACACATCATCAATAAATTGTTCTTTGATGTTGCCCTGGAGGAACCGCTGCAACAGGATGCAGAAAGTCTGCAGGTATGTGAATTGGACTGAAATGCCCCAGCTTGTACCTGTTATCTGACTTAATACAAACACACTCCCCAGTAAATGCTTGATCTTATAAGCAAGCTCAAAGGTGAATCTGTTTATGCACTGGTATATCACATGGATACACTGATTCTGCATGGCCTGTTTGTTGTCTTCATTTTTAAAATGCTTTCATTTTGGTGACATGCTGAAATGTTAAAAATTATTTCCATTTCCTCCAATTTTATTGTCATTCCAGGCTCCTAGAAAAGAGAACAGCCTTTTCCTTTTCAGGTGCCTTTGTCTGTGAGCCTTTTCCTAATGTCCTCAAATATCAGGATGTCAGGATAACTTGGCTATATTAAGACTGAGAGAAATATCTGCTATTCAAGTCATCTGTTGACATATACAAAGAAGAAGCTAGTTTGTAATCATTGAAAGGAAGCTGTTAAAGGAATATTATCAGATAATACTGCATTTGACATTTCTTGGCATGTAGTTACATTTTTACATTTACTCAGTTTAATCAGTTTGCTTCCATTGTTGGTCATTTTGCTCCACCACAAACAAAAGAGCATCTAGAAAATACATTCCCAGGGTGTAACAATACCATGGTGACAGTGAGAAACCTTGGATGCAAAATGGCATTAGCTACATATTTTGGCAATAATTTAGCTCCAGCATTTCATTTTCTTATGTCCTAATCATTTGAAGCAAATAACCATACTGACCTTAGTATAATAGGATTTGCCTACCCTCTTCTGCTTAGGGTTAGCATGTATGTGTGGTGGTCATAACTAGCATTGCCATGACAACTGATGCCATGTGCACAAATATATGCCTGATTCCCTGAGGTGGGTAACAGTGCCAACAGAAATAAAGCTGTAATAGTCACGCAGAAGAGATTAAAAAGAATTCAGCTGTATGTGCTGAAAAATCAAGGTAGCTCTGTGGTTTCAAAAATAGCTTGAAGCACACAAAAGCTGCCTTTACATTTACAAGGATTTGTGTAAGCATGCTGCTTCTATAAGTGAAGCATTCTGCAAAGGAAAGCTATTATAGATAAGGGCACTTGAGAGTTAGATGCCTGCCTATTCAAATAGCAACATGATCTTGCTTCTCTTGCATACCTTGGCTAAAAAGTTGGAGGCAAAATGTGTATTGAAGCGCTTTTCACAAGTGAATGGCTCTTGCAAACATGCCTACAGAGCCAGAGAGTTCATTAATTGACTTTGAACAAAAGAGCTGTGGGCTGTCAGGCATTGCGTTAGCCTGTCAGACCATGAAAACCAATATTTTTCTGAATAGGTGGTATGGGGAATTATTTGCGCATTTTGAGTGCTTTTGCAGGATGGTAAAAAAAAAAAATCTTCATTTAGCAGCTAGAGTTTTACATACACAACTGTATTGATTTTATATTATGATAAGTACAAGTTGACAGCATTTTGTTTTAGCATTATCATGGTAAGAAATCATATTTAACAATTAAGTGTACATAGCAATATGCTTTTCATTAAGGCTGCTTCTACTAGACCTATAGCTTCTAATATTGTGTTGGCAGAAGAGAGGTCCAGACAGCTAACCTCATGTGGTATCTGTCCTGCCCATGAATACCTTTGATGCTGCTCCAAGTGGTGGCGCATATCCCATCTGCCCCTGCAGTTGAGAATCAATCCCAGAGTGCACAGCTCCTGCCTGCTTTGCCTGCCTCTCCCCCATTGGGCTACATGCTCCCCGCAGCCAGCTACAGCTTTCCCCCCACTGCTGTTCCACAGAGCCACTGTCTTCTCATCAGAGTAGCACAATTGCTCTGCATGAGCAACAGAGTGGTACCCCCTCCCCTGCTGCCATGCTCTGCCCATGCAGCTGCGTACCCACCTCCCATACCTCCCCCCTCACTTACTGTACATGTGCCCGATGCTTGCCCCCGCTTTCAGATTTGCACACACTGCTGGGGCCAGCTCCCCATGGCAGCCCAGCGCATGGAAGGAAGGAAAGCAGGCGCAGCTTCCAGGGATGGAGGGAGTGGGCCCTTTCTCAATGATGCCCATCTGGGCATTTGCCCAAGAAACTCCCCCAGCAAGCTGTCGGGGCAGGAGCACAGGAGGGCTTATGGAGAGTTCCCTGGACAGGGTTGGAGCAGGACAGGAGGCAGAGGCTCCTTGGGATGTTAACCCTGATGGTGAAGCCCCACAAACTGCTCATGCATTGCTCCAACACAGGCCCGCGACCAGGCAAGAGCCCTTATGGCTGCTGCTGCTAGAAGTGCTCCCTGTCTTCCCTCCCAGGGCACGCTCCCTAATGGCAACTCTTGGCACCATGCCTGCCTCGCAAGGCCTTGCAGGTGTGAGACAGCCTCATGAGATGGGCACAAGACAGACATGGCAGACAGCTCTGTGAGGCCAGCTTTGTGGCAAGGAGTGGAGGGAGCGTGGGGACGGCAGCAGTTGCTAGACAGAACAGGGCAACAGAAAATGATGGCTGGAGCAGCCACCGCAGCTGCCACTGTTGCCAAACTTGCCATCGGACCTGGGAAGCTGCAGAAAACACAGGAATGAATTCACACATAACAAGCAATGATAAAGTGTAGAAACTTTCAAACAAAACATTGGTTCTCCGTGGGGATTCACAGTAACCAAATGGACCACTCTTCACTATGCTTCCTGAATTCACACATACTGACAAGCCATTCCTGTCATGGCTTGTCACTATGTGTGAGCACTGCCAGTATGTATCTTCTTGGTATTTCTCGCATGGGAAGGGGGAATCTGAAATGCCCTGGTGGGCACACAGAAGTGCTTTGCACAGCACTTTAACTTCTTTCCAAAACTGTGATATCTGCACAAATAAGTTTTCACTATTTCTCATATGTCCTATTTGTATACTTTATCGCCCACAAAAAAGCCCTGATCTATTTATAAATATTTTTGTTTTAAAAAATTGCTTTCCTTTCTGTACTGTTCAGGCCAGCTTAGTCAAATACAATAATAACATAAAAGAAACAGTAAGCCAACAATAAAACAATGCGGAGAGATACCGTACACCTTTATGGCAATATCAGTCCAGAAATCCTCACACTGCTCTACGTTTCTTCATGAATGACAGCCTATTACCTCAGTGATATTGCCTTTGCATGAACAATTTGAATTATATGTTGGCTTCCTTCTTTTTTATGCTGTCATACTACATTTCAGCTAAGGTCCAGCTTACTGCTCTCCTCAGGCCTCATTCAGCTTCAATGCTTTCCAGGGTTCAAACATATCTTTGGTGTGGAGTGTGTCACCTTAGATATATCAGTTGAAAAATTATAACTAGAGGCAAAAAATAGATCTATGCTTACATCAAAGACTGTTGATTCTGATAGACTGCTTCATATTTCCCTTTTATGGTATTCACTATTGAAAGCTGTTACAAAGGTCCCTTGGCATCTTCTCCCCCAAGTTGCTGCAAATTGGTTCACAGCTGCCCTTTCATCCAACTGCTGTTTTGTGTCAATATCAACATCTTGCTTGAGCATTAAACAAGGTTTTGATCTGACTGGTGGTATCTCTGCCCAGATGAGCCTTCAAATTGCTGATCAGACTTTATTCACATGCTACTTTTGCATCACTATTGTGGTTCAGTGTGTTATGCATGGGTTACAAATATCAGTTAAAAATATTTGATATTCAAATTCTGTCTAACAGGATCTTTGCCTTAATTTAAAATAATCTGGGCATTCTCCCATGTTTTTCTTGTAAGGTTTGGAAAGTTATTCAACAAATGCAGAGAGTGTAATAGACTAGACTAAAATGCTTTTTTTGTAATCTCATTCTTGAAATTTTGTCACTTTTGAGATGTACTTGTAGTTGTAAAACGATACAATGCTTGATTGTAAATAATGAAATGTTATTAGTTGCAACTGCTTTCAGTCAGGCTGCTGTGAAGAATATTTGGATAGGATCGCATGAAATCACTGTATGATTCATCTTTTAAAACTGTGAAGAAGGCTTGTACATTATGCTACAACATAAGCCAAATCTTTTATGGGCTGTATTTCAGAATGAACTGGACAAGGTGAAAGCCCAGTTATGTCTGAAAGGTAAGTTGAAAATTAGTCTTTCAGTAAAGTTAGAAGAAAATATGACTGACAAGATTTGTGTAATGGCTTAATCCTGAGCCTTAAGACTATGCTTAAAATTGAGGAGGGTGATTTCTGCCCCCAAAATGGTCATGTGACTCAAAGCATCTGAAAGGCTTTGAGACAGTTGGCTGCTAGGAACAAAAAGCTCTGCTTGGCCATTGAGGTTTACATGACATAGTTTTACTTGACTGAATAACTCGGGTAAGAATACTCTATCTACTTAGGACAAATGCCTTTTAGTTGGGAAGCTCATACTTGCCAAATCTATATGGCTCTGTAGTTGAACATCAAAGTCTTGCATATTCCCACCTATGGAATGAGCTCCCCAGAGAGGTCCGCCTGACGCCATCGTTATTTGTTTTTTGGCACCAGCCCAAGACCTTTTTATTTAAATGATATTTTAATTGTTAATTTGTTTTTATTTATTGGTTTTAAATTATGGCCGAGATAGTCTAAATTTTTAATGTTATCCTATTCTATGTTTATTTATCTTACTTGTAAGCCACCCCGAGACTTTCTGTGATGGGGGCAGCATAAAAGTGTTATAAATAAAAAATATGATCAAGAAACCAAATAGAAGTGGGAAACTAGGGAAGAGAAGGAAGAAGACTTAGTCAGCTTTCTGAATGATGGCCATGAGTCTGTCTATTCATGCACTTCCATTTCCCAACTGCTTTAAAGAACATGGCAACTTTAATTTTAGAAATGTTTTATAGTGATAAGTGAAAGCCCTAGAGACTTTGTTGATGGCTTTAAAGTATTGTCTGTAGGCAGCTGTGAAAGGAAAATGTCACTCAGTTTGAATGACAAGAAATCCAAAAACATGAGAGTGCACTAAGTGTGAATGTTTGAAAGGAGCAACTTAGGAGGGTTTTTCAGTTTCCAGCAAGTGCTCTCTCCCATTGGATGGTTTTCCTTCTATATGTACAAATAAAGGAGCTAAAAATAAGCTCTGTCCCTGAGACAGAAATAGATTGGAATAATTTGCCCCATGGTTGTTATGATATGGTTGTAACTAAAGTATCAGACATTGGGGTAATGGGTAGCATTTGGCTTGCTGATTTAAACAGTCTGTTAAACCTCTGGCATGTTAGGTGATTCTGAAAAAGGTTAAAAAGCAATATATCCAGCTAATTAGTTTTGCATGACTGTCTTTTCTCTAATATAATGCTGCCTTTTATGAGGTCTTGATAGAGTAATTTTTGCAGATATACAAGATGGGACAATGTCTTTACACAAATTAAAGTAGCATTATTTACATTTACATACCAACAGTAGCTGAAACTCTCTAGGCAATTTACAACAAGTTGCAAACACAATAAAATACAATAGATAAAAACAATTAGCAAGTATTAAAATTAATTTAAAATTGCATAGAAACATTAAAACAAAGACAATTAAAAAGACCCAGGCAAGAATAAAATTGTGCCTAATTGTGTCAGGTCCCTGAATGACCAGGGAGCTCTTTAAAGACCTCTGCACAGAGGGCTATCTTGATCTGGCACTGAAAAGATGGCAAATTTGGGACCAGGCAGGCCACAGCAGGGAGGTTATTCCAGAAATGGGTGGCCACCACCAAAAAGGCTCTCCTCCAGTTGCCACTTTTCCAAGCTCTTGAGGAGTTGGCACCCAGAGGAAGGTTTCAGAGGCTGAGCATAGTGTCCAAGTGGATTGAGGTTGTGAGAGGCGCTCCAACAGGTGTTGCGGTCCCAAGCCATGTAGGGTTTTATAGGTTAAGACTAGCACCTTGAATTGGGAGCCCCACATACAGTGCATTGCAGTAATCTAACCTACAGATTACCAGAGCATAGGAAACTGAAGGCAGGCTATCCCTGTCAAGATAGGGGCAACTGGGCCTCCAGTTGAAGCTGTTAGATGGTGCTCTGGGGCAAGGTGACAAGGATCAAGGAGCACCTCCAAGTTACAAACCTGCTCCTTCAGGGGGACTGCAACCCCACTGAGAACAGGTTGAACCCCCCTCCCGCCACAATCCAGTCAAATGAATCACCCACTAACAGCATCTCAGTCTTGTATGGATTGTGTTTCAGTTTGTTAGTCCTCATCCAGTCCATTTTCATTACCAAACACCAGTGTGGCACACCCACAGCCTCACCTGCTGGCAATGAAAAGGAGAAACAGAGCTGTGTGTCATCACAGTATTGATGGCAACACACTCCAAAACTCCAGATGACCCCATTCAGCAGTTTCACATAGATGTTAAATAGCATGAGGGACAGAACAGGCCCCCGATGAACTCCATGCTGGAAATCCACAGGGCTGAACAATATTCCCCAAGCACCACCTTCTGGAGACTTCTCTCCAAGTAGAGGGCAGAACCACTGCAACACAGTGCCCCTCACATCTCAGCCAGCCGCTCCAAAAGAATGGTATCAAAAGCCACTGAGAGGTCCAGCGGTATCAACAGGGTCACATCCCTGCTGCCTCATCCCCAGCATAGGTCATCATACAGGGCAATCAGGACTGTTACTGTGCCAAAACCAGGCCTGAAATGGATCCAGAGAATCCATTTCATCCAAGAATGCCTGGAGCTGCTTGACAACCACCCTGTCTGGAACCTTGCCCAGGAAAGGAATATTTGCTACCAGCACACAGTTGTTCAAATTTTCTGGGTCAAAAGAGGGCTTCTTGAGAAGTGGTCTCACCACCACCTTTTTAAGGCAGCACAAGTCCACTCTGACAAAGAGGCATTGATGACCTCTCTGGCCCAATTGGTTATCCCTTACTGTTATCCCTTAAGAGTACATTTGAATTTCTTGCCCGACAGTACAAACTGTGGTGAAAGTGAGTGACAAAAATAGAAATATAACAATACAGCAATGTAACTGTTCTGTATGTCAGATCTTTCTTAGTGTTCACAGCAGCACCTGAAATTTTACCTATGCATATATCAAGCACACAAGAATTCACACTGAGAGAACAGAATACTATGCCTCCTAAAGCTGAATATCAGAACTTAATGATTCTGTAAATGTTAGTTATCAGATACTGCTGACTCCCTGCACAGTACTTCCTTTATGCCTGAGTTTGCTTTGATCTGGTGCTGGAGTAAGTTTTTCTGTTAGCTCTGCCAATACCAAGCTCTGAAGAAATCATATTGTTACTCATACGGTGAAGAAAGATTTGATGCTTAGAGCTTGTAACAAGGATTATTCAATATGGCAGATACTTTCCAGTTCATCACTTAATAGAGTTCTGTGGAGTTTTAGATTAAGCCTGGAGAACCTGTTTCTTATTAAAGGCTGTTGACCTTTGGGGAAAGTCAGTCGGGCTGCAGCAGATGTTGATCAACTTCCCTTGAGATGGTAGGTGAAACCAGAGTCACACATGGGAGAAGTTTGCAGCAGTATATTGTTTTTTTCTGTGTGGTAGATCTTGCTGTTCTCTCTCATGTACATGTACAGTGAAAAAAAGAGTTCCCAGAAAAATGTTCTAAAGGAACAAGACTAGCCCTGCAATGTCTACTTCTTCACCCTACTTCTAGACTTCTGAAAGTTCTGCCTGTTTTGCTGCTTTAAGTTTAGTGCAGAAATAAACCCAGAGGTCTACAGGACTGAGACAGATGATTTTTAAGTGCTCGCATAATACTTTGTTTCAGAGAGGGAGAAGAGAAATTGCCAGTCTATTGTGAATTCACTAAGGGAGACTTTAGATGTTCGTAATGCCACCATTGAATCACTTCAGAAAGGTGCATCTGAGATGGAGATGCTGTGTTCTACACTTAAGGTACGATACAAATAGTATGGGCTTGTATTTTGCACACACAAGGGTAATATTTCTTTATATCACTAGATATGTTTTATGATTTTACCAGCTTTGATTGAAAAAATGAGATACAGTATGGTCATTTCTATCTTGGAAGGATCTCATGGTATAACTTTCATGCTCTATTGTACAGCATCCAGAAACTTAGAGTAAAAAAAAGACTGTTGAGACTTGACTATGAAAGAAAGTGATATTTTCTTTAAATTGCTGGTTGATTTCAGAATACCAAATCTTTTGGCATTTGTTCCTCTTTTACACTTATCTGGAAAACCCACGATGTAGATTATATCACTTTCCTAGTTTGCTGTTTCCAAAAGGTCCATTTCCAATGTCACTGAAATTTATCAAGGAGCTGGAATGGGAGGAAAGTATGTGTCAGTTCAGTGTGTGTCTCAGGTAGCTGAAGCTACAACCTCCATCATCCCTGGCATGTTGTCTGAGGCTAATGGAAATTAAGAGTCCATCACCATCTGACAGTCCACGATGTATCTCCTCATGTTGTGTAGCAGTTAGGTCCTGACAGCTGCTAAGTACTATGGGGAATGTCTTCTATTAAAGAACTGGTTTTTTTTTAATGATCATGTCCTCCCCTCCCATTCCTCCTAAAACTGTTGTAAATAAACTACATTTATTTATTACATTTGTATACCACTCCAAAACCATGAGGTTCTCTGGGCAGTTTCCATCCTCAGAAAGGATTCTGATCCTGCAGGTGCTCACACTGAAAGAAGGTGGGGAAAGGAAACTTTCCAGCAGTTCTTCTCACACACACACACCCCCAAAAGCTGCCCCAAAGGGTTGCAGGATCTTCTGAAACATTGTGGGATCAAGCCCTGGGGCTATAGAGGAAAGAATGAATTGTGCTAATTGCCTTCCCTCTTGCTGAGCACTCTCTAAATGAGAAATCTAGATGGTATCAAATTGACCTTCCAGGGAAACAAGCAATATGCCCGTGTATAAAAAGTTACTACTTAAGGAGCTAAGCTCAAAATATAATTTGACTGTGTGACAGCTGAAGACATTTAAGTGAGAACTTCCCTTTCAAGATGCCATTTTGGAAATGATTTAGATTGTTTATAATTACTTGTTCCTGACTTTTAGATCTTTAGATGGAATGCTGCTTTATGAGTTGGTAAACTCAAGGGTCTTTTTTCTGTAAAGATGTCTGACAGATGTGGCTTTTAAGCTACATTTTTAACATACATTTTTGGAGAAGGCTGGGTAGCTCTATTTATGTTGTTTTTTTCATTGCTTCCCCATATTTCAACTTCTGCCAGGACACGGAAAATTGCCATGAAATATATTTGTTCTGCCCCCCACTCACCTCCAAAATCAGGCAACCAGTGAATCTGAAACAGTTGAACACATGCCCTCCCTCCAAAACACCATTTTAGCTTAACGGCTTTCAGACTTTGTCATGTATTTTGCCTCAAGAATAGAATCCTACCCCATGTCTGAAATGTATAATTACAGTTCAGCCCTCCTGTTAAATTCATCCATGTACAACCCAGAAGTGGTTTTGTGTCTTGCTGTCCTGTAAGCATGTGGAACAATGGCAGGAGATAAACCCATTCCACCAAGAGATGTAATGTTGCCACAACCTACAGGTGTCGCTGGGTTGCAGTGGCTGTTGCCCCAGACTTTTGGCTATGCTGGCTGGAGTTTGTAGAAGCTATGGGCCAGCATCAAGAGGGCCATGCACTGTGCCTTTTATCATCTAGCACTGTGTGTTAGGAATGAATTTAGTAGCTAGATTCTGCTGTGGAGTTTATAGCTGCCGGTTAAGTAAAAGCAATAAAATGAAAATCTGGAAAAGAGCTATATATGCTGGGCATGAATAGAGGTGGGGAGCCATCTATGCCAGGCAAAGCAAACCCTCATCAGAAGAGCAGCATCTTCAGGTATTTGGTTTTATAAGTAGATGAAATGGTATGATGGCAAATGCGCCTTCATCTACTGCAAGGAATAGCACCTAATATTATCTAATGGAGGCTCTAGTCTTTGACCGGTGTTTTCTGAAGTCTGATCAAACAGCATGACTTCTTTCCTAGTTTTCAGAGTAGAGGAAAAGTGGGCAGGAGTCTTTGAAGTTTGTGCTAAGGAGACCAATCCAGTCAAAGCCTAGAAATTGCAAATGTATTGAAGAATACCACCCCCACCCCCACCCCCGCTTTAAATCTAAGTAAGCTCTCTAAACATACATTTCATTGAGCCTTTACAACTCTCCTCTATTCAAGGAAATGCGATTTCAAGTAAGGCTGGAAGCTGTTATAGTTTGATGGGGAAAGGAATTAGGCTTTCAGTAGCAGGCTCCTGCAAGCAATATAAAGTGGAAGGAGAGAACTTATGCAAGATATTATCCTGGTCACAAAATAGAAGCTATGGGCCCTTCCTAAGACATTGCACTCTACAGAAATAAAATAATAATAATATGATTATAGATCTCTTGCATGGGAAGGTATTTGCAAATAAATTAGGAGTTGTCACAGGTTTTATGTCACAGCATCTTACCTTTTGCTAACACTGTGCATTCAAGGGTTCATGGTACCAGTGGAAATCCAAAGTATTGGTAAGAATAAGAAGTATTGGCGAGGAGGGGTTCCTCTTGAAACAAAATGGTTTTCTCACTTACTGATTTGCATAAGTGTGCAGAAGTATTATGGATAGAGATGTCTGTGGACCTGCCAAACATCTAATATCCAGCTTGTGGGCTATTGAGGTGGCAAGAATCCTGAAGATAGCTTGATAAGTCTAAATCTTGTTTCCATGGAACAGCCTTCTTCATACTGATGACATTTCCATTCTCAGAAACAAATGAAATATCTGGAGCAGGAGCAGGTAGATGCAAAGAGTGCAAAAGAGGAGGTCCGAAGACTGAGAAATAAACTGAAAACTATGGAGAGGTTAGAGAATGTACTTCCATATTTGTGGGCGAGGGGTGATGGTGGTCCTTTGTACATTTACATGGGAATAAATTCTGTTGAACACAGTGGGGTTCAGAACATGCACATTTTAAAGGGTATAAAACATGGTGCAACAATAGCAAGGAATATATCTGAAACAGACTGCCATTTTCTCCCCAAAATAGTGATGGCAAAAGTGGCTCTTGGTCAAGTCCAAAGCACCTGAATTTGGTCTCCTTTTACAAGCTGTATTTTTAAATCATTGTTATACCTGGAATTTTGAACCCAGCTGTCTGAAGAACATAGGAAGACTAAAAACATGTTAATTGATAACAGGTCCATCTTGTTCTTAGAGCCTGGTAATGTTCATTCTTAACATTATCCCTAACGTGGACTCATTCCTTGCACACACAAGTATTTTAATAGTTCCTTGATACTACAAGACTTTTAAAAATAGAAAAATAAAATAAAATCATGCTAACAGTACTTCATTCTGAACTTCCAAAGAGAAGCTGCTACTCTACATCCATAGGTACCAACAATCCCTGGTCTCAGTCCCACTCTAGTCACTTTAAAATATTGTTCACATTCACTGTCTTCATATTTCCCAGGGCTGACCCCTAGCTTTACAGTAGGAGCTTTAGCTATTTATTGAAAACAATTTTATATAGCAATAAAATGTAAACAAAATCAGAAAAATTATTTTAACATATTTAAATAGTCATAAGCACTATTGAAACATCTCTGGGCATTCTTAACAAATTGATTTCCAACTTTTTCATGGAACTTTCATTCAGCTGCCATCCTAATCTATCAAAAGCTTTTGTGGCATCTAAAAATGCTGCAAAAGCTTGCTATTTTAGTTTTAACGTATTCAATTAAAGTACTGTCTTATAGTATGGCTAAGTGTGTCCATAGGAATAAAGTTTCTTCTGATCAATGTTAACACATTTATTGATAGATTTTATATCACACCTTTTTCCTAACAAGGAACTCAAGGCAGCTTATATAATTCTCTCAATCTTATCCTCACAACAACAACCCTGTGAGGTAGGTTGGGTTGTGAGTCTGTGACTGGCCCAAGGTCACCCAGTCTTCATGGCTGGGTGGGGACTAGAACCAGATCTTCCAAGTCCCAGCTCAACACCCTTAACAATTGTATAGTTGTCAGATTGATTACTTCAGTGGCAGTACACAATATTAACATGCAGAGGATCCCAGATTTGACATTTGGCTTCCCCAGTTAAAAGTATCAGGTAGCAGATGATGGAAAATCATCTGCCTGAGGAACTTCAGGAGTACCTCTCTCCAGTAGAGCAGACAATATTGCGTGATGGGGCCAATAATTTGTCCTGATATGCAGCAATTTCCAGCATTCCCAAACTAGCAAGAACATTGGTCAGTTATGATGGAGTGTTAGCTCTGTCATAATTGAAGATTGCTATGTTAGTGTGGATTGCTAACATACATCTCTCCAGGCACTGTTTTTGTTTCCATTAATGATCATCACCACAAATAGATCCAAAGAAATGAAGTAAAATTGACCCCTGGCATGTCATGGCCTGTAACATTTTACTTTATGCTTAAACTCAATGTAAACTGTTTCTGTATGAAGAAAATGACAAGCTAACTGTATCTGTTATCCATGAGTCTCAATCCAACTAAAACTCCTTATGGTGTCCCTTTCTCTCCTTTTATTACAAAATAATTGTGTCTAAACCTCACAATGGACCCAGTTTTGGTATGTATGTTTGTAATATGAAACTTAACTTGACACCAGTGCATTTTCATCTTGCAAATGTCTAATTCCTGCAAAGATGAATTTCTCCTAGGCATTTTAGGTGGGATGAGGGGAAGGAATCCATGCCAGGCTGAAGTACAAGATGACTCTCTTCCATTATTGACCGTCACTGTGTTTGTGGAACATTGCCTAGTTTTGCCACTGAACCAGGAAACTCTACTCTTCCAGAATTGAGACACTGCTACAGGCTCAGCGTCCCGAGGTGGAAGAGATGATTCGTGAAATGGGAGCAGGGCAGGCAGCAATAGAACAACTTGCAGTCTACTGCATCTCACTCAAAAAGTAAGTGTGTTAAACAGGCTTGTTTACTGATGTGTGTGTATACAGATAGTATCCTCTAAAGGAAATGTGGGGAACAGTTAAATCATGTAGGCACTTTGCAGAATTCTGGTTGCAACACTGAGATTTAGTGAACATAATCGAAGTGGCATAGTTGGAAGATTTCAGCACAGCAAGTGTACTATTGTTGCATTAGTGACACATCCATTGCTATGGAAACAGCCTTCAGAGCTTTGCTGGAGTGCTTAGGAAGTGATTGCCTGATGGGAATGGAGGGGATGGCTGATTGTCATGTTTCTGAGCAAGGCAGCATGGCCCCTGCATGTCTCCCCTGTGCAGAGCAGAGTACTCTCTGCAGCTGTGGCAATAAATACGGTGTGTTTGGCAGCCCCTACAGTGTGTGTTAGAGGTCTTTCTATTTATACCATGTATAATTCAAAGCTTCTGGAAGCAACATTGGTTAGTAAATGGGTAATCACAACTTTTAATAATGAGCTACAGCATTCAGTACCTGCATTGCAATCACTCACTTCAGTTCTGTTTTATAATAGCATTAGCATGCTTTCAGAACCTTAATCTTTTTTTTTGACCTGTCACATATTCTTTCAGTAAATTAGATAGCAATTGTTTTATGTTGGTGAGATATTTAATATCATTCATGCTCTAATAGAACAGGCTCTTTTCTGTCATTTTGATATGACAGAACAAACCAAGCAGTGCTGTCTCCTGCAAGCATGTTTTCTCACCTGCTCTATAGTGTCGTGGTTTTAACACTGTACAAAATCGATGTTGGCTTGTTCAGTCTGTTTCTCCTTCAAAGTGTCTGTGTATACAACAGAAACTTTTGCAACCACCTAAACTGTGAATTGTGTATCTTGGTCTAAATTTGATTGCTGGCTTCAGCTAAGAGCCACTTGCTTAGAAGTGTGTTCCACAGATTGACTAATTTGGGCTCTTTCCAGAGAATATGAGAATCTGAAGGAATCTCAGAAAGCATCATTTGATACAAAGGAGAAGCTAAGGAAAGAGTTGTTCTCTGCTAATCACAAGGTAAAAGGCACGTGGATATAGCTGCTGACACATCTGTGTACAACTATTCCTCTGCATGCCTACCTAAATAAGATTTCTATTGCTTGTCCAGACAGTTGCATTGTCCATATTGGTAGCTATCTGTTAACAGGAAGGTTCAGCTATAGCTTCTCTGAGCTTGCTCACTTTGTCTTCCTGTCATCGATTTGCCCACATAGCCAGGTCACACTCCCTATTCTGTTTGTTCTTCAGCAACAAAAAAGCCTTCTAATAAAGTTATAGATAGGAAATTGCACAAAGGCAGGTTCCCGTCTTAAATCAAAATATATGTCTAGAACATTCTTCTGTTTCAATGTCTGAAAAGTGCTACATAATATTGTGAATCCAGGAAACCTTAGTATAGGAAAGGAAGGGTGAGGGGTTCTTTTTTGAAAAATGTATTAGGTTGATTGATCTTTTATAGTTTTCTAAATCCTTACAAACACACTGAGTTATTCTGGGTATTTGAGTGTTGCAGAGGCACTTCTCAGTAACTCTGTTTCCATCTGCAGAAAGCCACCTTGGAGCTCCCTCTGCAGGTGACTTGACAGAAAATGGATTGCTTGATCTTCACAAAGTAGCCATTCCAACCTAAGATGTCTGCTTCCGATTTCTATTAGAATGTATTAATTTCTTAAACCCTGAAGTGATGCAAAAATAGGTTTTAATTAGACATAGGCATTGTAAATGTTGGGTACTTCAAAACCTTGTGTAATAATGTTCTCCATTGGGTACTGAATTTCTGATGTGTAATATTTATAGCTGCAGAACACTGTTCTAGAGTTGGAGAAAACAGTAGAGGAATTGAGAAGCACCCAGACAGATCTAAGAAATGCAGATAAAGAGATAATGGTGAGAACCTTCCTTTAAGCTGCAGTCATTACGATGTTTGCGACCCCAAAGCTCCCTCTTACCTTCATAGCTTACAACCAAGACTCCTTTCTTAACTTATCCCACTGCACAGTTGGAGGGGTCATACAGAGCATAAGCTGTCTTCCTGAGTGTGAGCATATCTGCATCTCTGAAGGGGAGGGGTGTAGAAATCTTGGGTGTGATGGGGGAGTTGGTTAATTTTGCTTTTTCTGTTCAAAGAGTTTGAAAAGGAAGATAGAAATCTTGCAAGATACTTTAAAAGTGCCATCAGTAACGAGTGAAGCACTCAGCCGACTCATATCTGAAAGGTTGGTTTGAGGAACATTCACTGGAATTTGATATAACGAATACTGCATAAAGATTGTATATGAAGAAAGCTGAATGCACCTTCGTGAACTGTCTCCAAATATGTAAAATGCTTTTTGCACCAGGTCAGCCTACTTGTTCATCTAGCCCAGTCCTGAATGGTTTGCACTTCAGCCCCCAAAGGTTCTCTGATGCCCTGGTGCCTCCAGATTTTGCCTTCCCAGCTATCCTGACATGAATCACCCATGTGTTGCTGGAAAGAAAGATCTGCATCAGGATTGCTGAGGGAGGGCCTGAAAAGAAGGTGCCTGGTATATGTAGCTACTGAGCCAGTGTCACATACGACCCTCAGGACCAAAAATGCTGCCTATCTCCACCATATAGAATATAGGAAGGACTGGAATTTTCCTGCCTAACTATCTGACAGTTTAAAACTTGTGTAATTTGGCTTTGCAGCCCTGCTCCTCTAGAACTGCTAAACCCAAAGCTCCATCGGCCTCTTCATAGTGATGAAATTGACTTGAATGCTACTTTTGATGTGGAGACACCAAAACATCAGCTGTACAAGACAGCCCATGCTCCTGCCAAAAAACTCAAACTAGATAAAAAGTTGTGAGTCTTGTTCTTTTTATGTTTATGGGCCTTTTATGGGCTTGGGTGGCCTGGCATTCCCACTTCACATATGCTGGAAGCAATTATCCAACTATTTTATATCCTACACTTATTGCTTTAGGCTAAAATGCCTCATTTAGAAGCTTTTAATTGCTGCAGAAGAATGTCACAACAAACATACTCTGCTTGTTGTGGGTGCAGCCAGATTTCATCTCCAAACAGGGTTGCCTATCTCATCACCCATCATAATACTTGGAAATAACCTTTTTTCTGAAGCATTTCACATTTCTGGCTTCCAGAGATTTAAAGAGGCAATTCCTGACTTGCAAGCACACAATCTAAAACTGACTGGCATACAGTAGCAAGGACAAAGGAATAGATAGGGAATAGGAATCACAAATCATGCTGAATTATTTGCATGCCAAGCAAATAATGACCTGTGGATTTGATAACACAACTGAGGTTTGCTAATTTAGTTTATTTGTAGTAAACTCTGTCTCAGCTAAATACCAGAGGCAGTGAAGGAGGGTCTTTTCTACCCCATATAAAGTCATGCTAGGTATTCATGGATCAAGTGTGGCAGTGAGGCAAAAAAAATGAAAGCTTGCTTGCTTTGCTTGTTGGGCAGACCAGAAGCTTTTCTGTTCATGGCCAGAACAAAGAATATGGAAGTAGAGGACCATGGTGAGCTCATACATGGATTTTTATAAAGTGGTGCATCCATCTTCTAAAATGATGTTGTGTGTTTTTCAGGGCACCTGTGACAAATTTATCAAGAGTTCTGAAAGAAGCAATGGAGGTATTGTAACTGATAATCTGAGTAATATTTACAACCTCTGTATCAGGGGTACGCAGCATAGTGCCCAAGGGCACTGGTATGCTCCCAGTCACCTTCCATGAAACACCATTTTCCCTATTTTTATTTTAAAGTATTGGTACATTTCTTACAGACAGTTGGGTTTCTTCCAAATAAAATGGAAGACTCATGCTTCTGTCATCTTCATTTCCCACAAGTGTCTCTGGGCAGCTTGCTTGTCCTTTGTGACTAGCCAGTGCCACCCGAGAGATATTTTCCTTTCAGTGCACTATCTTTAGTTGAAACTGACATTTTTGCTGCAGACATTCTGAACTAAACCCTACATTGTCAGTGCAATAGAGATTTTGGATAGTCTGCCTAGAAAATCCTTAAAGTTCTGAAGGCTATGTGGTACAAGCCAACTTCCTCACTAATGCCTATGTGTTCTGAATTCTTTGCAACTTTCTGTACTATTTGGTACTGGAGGCAATGACTTCCTGTTTTCTCCAGGAATTTAAAAGAAGTTGCACTGGCAAATCTGTCTTTGCCTTTTGCAGAAAAATTGGGCTGGGGCACTGCTAGCAGACAATTTTAGTGTTACTTGTGCTTGAAAATGTGCACCTTTTAGATCTAACTTTCCTAATTAAAAAAAAAAATGGTCCAGAACCCAGGTGAGGCAGATGATGAAAATCTAGAAGATCTTTTACCTGCTTTCATCAGAAACTCAGTTCTGTCCAAGAAGCCACCTGTAAATGGCACGCTCATGCCACAGAGGAACACAGGAATAGTAAGTACAAGTGGGATCTAAACCACACTGCTTCTGGTCATTGTGTTAGGCAATATTCCATTCCCAGTCCACTATTTCTGTTTCTTTCTCTGCAGTGCTCTATGGCAACTAAGCACACTTAGGACTTACTGGGCTGTGTTACAGGGAGGGCCTGCATCTTAGGTTTTTAAAGCTCCGACCAAAGATCGCAGCTCTGACCAAGGGAGGGCTCTGCTCTGGGAACCTGCTGGAGGCTTCCTCTTTCCCCTGGGAAAATTCAGTTTTCTCTTATCACAAACAGGGCAAGGAGTTTCCAGAGGCCAACTGTGCATGGTTCTGATTGTAGCTGGAGCCAGCAAGGGATTGCATGGCTTGAAAACCTGCCTGCCATTGCAATGCCCGGGCCTTTCTGACCTCTCCCTCTGAATCCCTTTGGGGATCAGGGCAACCTCTGGAAGTGTGTGCAACATGAAGGGCAGGTCAGGCAGGGTGGGACTTGGCAGAAACCTGCAACTGTGTATGTGCAAGCAGAAACTGGGGGCTCTGGATCCGAGCTTGTTTTGGCCTTCTGGTCATTCACTTCTCACGGAGCCTGCGCATGATGCTCTCAGGCTGTTTCACGGAGCAGAAGCCTGGCAGTATCCCCCTGTAACCCCAGACCCAATTGGCAACATTTCCATGTGCGTAAGAGAGAGAAAGGTTTTTAAAGATTTGGGAATGCATATCTGCAATCCTTGGGGTTTCACAGAGCTTTCTGATCTCATCTTCTTGATTCTCTGTGGAACCCCAAGGATTGCAGATTCATTGATTCAAGCATCTTATTAGTGCTCAGATGAATTCCATTTGGAAGAAGCTCTTGCGGCTCATATTCCATTAGTGTGCAAGGCCAAAAATGTTATCCTGTTTAGCTTAAAAACAGGGAGTAAATACACATGATTTTAAAATGATTTTTTGAAATGTACATTAGATTTTTTTAAATTTAAAAAACCCTCAATAACTTTAAAATAGCTGTCAATATTAGCATAAAAATAGTATAAACCTACACTTATAACAAGAAATTACCTACTGATCAAGCTTGAGCATCCATTTGAATTTTTCATCTTATGAAAATAGTTTTGTTCAGCCTAACAGATCTGATCGTTTCAAGTTCTGCACTTTCAGTTTTGCTTACAAAAGTCACATGTGTAAAGATAAAGGCTAGAGCAGGGGTCCTCAAACTTTTCCACCAGGGGGCCAGTTGAAAGCTGCTGGTGCTGGGCACGGCCTGGAAGGGTGGGGCCGGTGCAGGGGCGGGGGCTGTGCGTGCGGGTGAGCGAGCAAGTTGAGGGGGGCGGCAGGGCACACGGCGAGGTGAGGCGAGGTGCGGACACGTGCCATGAGGCGGGCGCACAAGGCAGCGGCTTGCTTGCTTGGAGATCATTTTGTCCAAGCAAGCAAACCACTGCCTCCCCGCGCATGGGGCAAGATGAGCGGTGGCAGGTGCGCCCATGGACACAGGCGTGCACGGCGGATCCAAATGGCCTCAGTTTGAGGACCCATGGGCTACAGGGTAAGAGCTGAACCAAGCAAGGCAGCACAAGTAAGTACAGAAAGACCATATAGCAGGGTAGATAAAAACATTTACTTTCAAAATCTCAAAAATGAGATTTTTCAAAATTTATATTGACCTGTTATGTTGGCCTAGTAACTATCAAGCCTTGCTTTGATTTATCAGTTATGAGCATTTAGCTTTTGTTTGCCACTTCATTATTTGTGAAAGTAAGCCTAGACCAAGATGACAAAGCAGAAACAGAGCAACACTGCAGAGAAAGAAGGAAAAAATTGTCCAATATACATATTTTTGCATTCTCCTACAAAGTCTATGATCCTATCCGGACCTCCCTACCTACCTGAGAATAAGTCTTGTTGAATTCAGTAGATCTTACTAGTGAAGAGACCGTGTTGTTAACTTTAAACTGTTGCACATACTGGTCATAAGAAAGACCCTATATTAACAGATGTTAAAGATATTCTGTCTACAAATAAATAAAGAAAAGGATGTGACATATACAATAAGACAAAGAGATGCAAAGCTTGCTTGTAGGAATGAAGCAGTGTAAATAATACCCTTATCTGGTTGTCAGTCAACATGGCTTAATGGTCAGACTTGTACCATCAGATTTTCATAGTAATTTAAATCAGCATTTTTCTTGCAGCTTTAAATGATTGATTTGAAACACCGTGATTTGAATCTATTCACTCTACTTTTAAAAACTTACCATCAGTAACTAAGTCTTAAAGGCATTTCAGCATTTTAGAACTGGGCCAGAAAAGGGGTGGGGTGGACTGCCCAGAAGCTGAAAAGTAAGTGGCCAAACAAGTTGTTAGGGGCAAAGAGATGAGGCGGGGGACAGAGCTATGGTAAGCTGGGAAACTCTGGTGGCCCATGTTGGGACCAGGTGGGCTTCTTTTGGCCCCAAGCTTAAGGTTCCCTTCTCAACTGTATTTTGATACAGCTGAATCACTGCACACTCACTGCAGTTCTTATTCAATTGTTTAATAAGCATAACTTTCTCCTTGAAGGGAAAATGCATATATATTTATAAATTCTGAATTTTCTCTTTTCTAGATAAGAACTGGATATGATGGCCTTGGAGGCAGAACCAAGTTCATTCAGCCTGTATCCTTTTACAAATACTGTTCCACTGCAGTTAAATAGTTCTCCATTCTCAGTTTTTAGTGATGTTGAATCTAGGATCATTAGTGATCTATGAGACTAAAGGGAACGAAGAAATGATAGTGCCAACATTCATTTGGGTGTATTTGGGGAAATTAGTCCTTAGAATAAAGCACTTCGTAACTGTTCTAGTATGAAATCCTGCTGCAAAACATCTGCTGCTAGAAGATTCAGCTCCAAGAAATCTGGTTCAATCAAGTCATCCTTCTAAATCTATTGTGTTTTCTTCTACTGTGGAAATAGTTAGAAATGCACTGTTTTCATTTGTGTTTTTTGCATGCTGAAATACCTGCATAGGCTTCTGAAGCAAGTAACTGGAAATAATTCTGTAGCAGCTTCAAAATTCTTCAGAGATTGCTGTAAGTTCATTTGTATTTCAAGAACAGTGGTAATTCTAGCATAGCTAAATTCATGCTGATGTCCTGCCCCTTCACCATGTCTGTCTTCGTGTATGAACTGTGTTGACCATTACTATTTTAAAGCTCTAAGAAGTTGGAAAGTATAATGTGACAGTGAAATTGAGGAATTGTAATGTAGTTCCTCAGGTCTGCAGAAATGATGGTAGGAGAGGTAACTGCTTATTAACACTTCTGAGAGCTTTTGGTTGGATGGTGGTAATGAGGAATGCTTGATTATACAACTGGCTAAAGTTAGACAGCTGTAAGCTGTGATCTTCGAACATAGTGAATTTGGTGCTGATGAGGAAAGATAGTCCAGTCAGTCCTCATATTTACATCATGGTTTGACTATGGGCAGTATCCTAGGAAATACCAGATTCCATTTTTCCATCAGCTTTTTGTTTCAGTCAGGATTCAACAACCTGTAACCCTCCAGATGTTGTTGCACTGAAGCTCTCATGATCCCTCAACACTGGCTGATGGGAGTCACATTTGAACAACATCTAGAGGGCCACATATTGCCCTGCTTTGGATACTTGACCACCATTCTCCTTGACTTTCCTCATTTCAGAGTATCACAGCAGAGATTCATCCCCTGCCTGTGAAGTACAAGAAAAGAACCACTGCTAAGCAAACAACAGCAATGTCTTCTGCTTCCAGTATTAGTCAGACTAAACTAGACAATTTCCTTAAGTAACCATGGATCTCCTAAATTAGACATAGATCATTGGAGATGACGTGCTTACCCCAGGGAGCCAGAACAAATGCACGGTGGACAGCTTTGTGTTCATCTGGCTCTTTATTCTTTTCTGCAGATTCTACATGCAGGATGGACTTTGCTCTGTTGCCAGCCTTTAATGAGGGGAAAGACTGAAAAGGGCTGGTTTCAAAATCCCTTCCAGTGTTGCTGCTTTGGAGGCTACTGCTCTGTATTCTACTCATAGGAAATCATGGGGGGCCTAGCTCCTGAAACTTTGGCAGTGACAAAGTAATGCTATCATAGATCATTTGGAAATAATCTGTTTCCTAAAGGGCACATGCAGCTGTTAGCTTCTGTGCCACTGACGTCTTTATGTTTTATATAAGGAGAGAATTCTGTCTGCACCTATCAATATGTTTTTGCCTGTATTTTTCATTTGAGTCTTGTCCTAGATGATCTGCTTCCTATATCTGGGAGTTAGCTGCTTCTCTCAGAATAATTTATTTCTTGTTTGGGAGTGTGGGAAGGCATATGGATAGAATTTTCCAGAGTAAGCCTTAGGATTTCCTTTGAAAATAGGAACATTTCAGCTATTCTTCAAGACTGGAAATATTAGGCTCTTAGTAGTTATTGCTGTATCTTTGACACAAACCACTTTTGAGCATAATATTCCCAGTTAAATATATCTATAACATGCAGAGTTTTTCTAGGTGAAACCAACTTAGTAAGAAATCAACTTATTTTGTCTTTGCATTAAGAGACTAGCATAAGAGTCTCTTGGCTTAGTTAGCCTAGTATTTCAAGTCTTAGGGAATTTTGCCCAAAGGCTTTTGCTCAATATCTCCCACCTGAACCCAGAGTTAAATAGGCCACAAACTTACTAGAATAAGGGAAAGACTGGACAGAATTTCCTCTTGGAGCTTCTGATTGAAAACATAAACTTCATACTGAATAAGTGCTGCATGTGCCTGGTTTATTATATTACACCATGCTGTAGCTACAACTACACATTACTGGCTGTACATCAGAAAATGACTAAAAGCCTTTTCCACAGATAAAGATTTCTTTCCCCTTTCACCCTTCACAGGCCCCGCTGACCAATATTACTGAAGTTTCAGGAAGACTGGCTGTATCTAGCCTCCAGCCATACCAAGGCACTCAACAAGTACCAAGCCCAGCCTTGTATTTAAGTACTCACCTGCTGTAGGCAACAAGAAATTGCAAGCAGGTGAATAAGCAGCCTGGCGGAAGAGGGTGCCCATCTGCCAAAAGAAAGAAGCCATCTCTATGTCCAACAGCCAAATGCTGCAGGAAGAACTGAACTTTTCACTTTCTCCTCCACACTCTCCTACTAAAAAATGTGCAGGCACATGACATTTGTGGGCTTATTTACAAGGCTGACCAAAACTATAGCTTAGAGAAAATATGGACTAGAAGAGGGTACTGTTAGCATAAAAAATGGGTTGTAATTTTTCTACATCTAGCCTTGTAATTACTCCCTCCTGGAACCTGCAATGAGGGCCTTCAGAGAGACAATCTTACATATAAGACTACAGCAGCTAATTGTTTGTAAGAATATACTAGTAAACCTCCTTAAGCATAACTGTTAACAAATTTGTTGTACAGAAGCAAAATGGAACAAACTTCTTCCAGTTGACAATCTTCTATGCATTCCAGTGACAAAACAATTCTTGTAACAGTTGACTAAGTCAATGGCTGTGTTTGGCTGGGTCCAGGTAGTCATCCTTAAAACAGCCCTTTTGGAATCAGTGGGACTTATTTTAATGGGTCTGCTTGATCATATGCCCTTCCTCAGAAAATGTCAGAGCAATCAAAATACTCCTGCAAAATAGGTCAGACTAGGACACAGTGGCTGCGCAAGGCCATCCAGTAACCTTCATGGTTGAACTGGAGTGGCTTGAAATGCACTTGGTTGAACTGAGATGGCTTGAAATGCGCTTAAGTTCTTCCTGGTTCTTGTTAAGATATCATTGTGTTGACTTTGAAAAAGGAAATTTTATATTGAGGATATTAGGAAAGGAAAAGAAAACTGCTAGTACCATAATGCTTTTATACAAATATGGGGGACAACTATGTTACAGTTCTGATCACCACACTTCAAAACGGATATTATATATCTATTGAAGCTACATAAAATTAGCAAGATACTGGAGTAACTCTCCTGTGAAGAAAGGGTACATACAATGCTTGGGCTTAGAAAAAGGGTAAAGAGTGGCATGTGACAGATGTATAAAACGATGCATGGTAGAAAGATGTAAATATGCCTCTGAAGTACATGTTTTCATCTGATCCAAATCGCCCATCATTCAGCTTGATCTGATGACACAGATTAGTAGAGTTAGAAGGGGCCAAGAAGGCCATCGCATTCAATTTTCTAGTGCAGGGCAACAATTTATTCCAGCCCACTCAAATGATTGTCCAATTTTGCTTTGAATGTCTTTAGTGTGGGAGAACTCACCACCTCTCTAGGCAGCTGGTTCCATTATTGCATTGCTCTGACCATGAGGAAACGTCCTGATACCAAGCCTGAATCTGGGTTGTCACAACTTGAATTGGTTATTCTGTGTTCCACACTCTGGTATGAGAAGAGATGTGATGGTTCAGCTAGGTCAGCCTCGCATAATCTGGTACCCTCCAAATGTATTGGACTATAACCAATATTGCTGGCCTGGAGCAATGAGCATTGCAGTCTGGATTGGGAAGGCTGAGCCTAGGTTCTTGGCCATTCCTACTGCCACGCAGGAGACGTCATGTGGTGCAATTGTTAAAAGCAGCCTCAGCATCCTTTGCTGTCAGGAATTATGAATACATTCAAGGATAAAAGGTACTAAATGACTTAAGATGCAAGTGGATTTGATTTCCCTGGTCAAGGTCATCCCATGTCAGCCTTGTGTTTTCCAAAGTAAAGTTGGTGAAGGGGAACAGCCTGCTTCAAGCACAGCCTGATTTGCATTAGTTTTCTGGTTCCCTGCTAGACTAGCTTTGAAAAGGAGCATGACACTGAATCTGTGCCTGTAGACTATGGCTTTTTCTGCACTTAATTCAGTAAGGATAATTAATCCCTGGGGATTTATACAGCTCCCTGGAGCCTTCAATATATCTGTTAGTGATGTGACACTGGATTTGTGGGCTTCCTTGGGATAACACAAGTAGTTCTGTTTTTCAGGACAAAGATTTCAAAGCTGGCTACTCAACATTTCACATCTCCAGCAGATAAAGGCTTGAAAATCAGTACAGTACAGAGAATAACGTCCTAGATTTCAATGGACTCCATATTCCCCCCGGGTGGATCAGCAAGTATGTACCTCTGCCTTCAGAAGACATCAGTCTGAGTCCCTGGCCTTTAGAATAGTAGAGAGTATTAGTACTGTGCTGAATTGTCAACCACTGGTTGAGGAAACAGGCAAAAAGAAATAGCACCCAAAAATTTTTGTAAAGGGTGAGCATTTCAGAAATGTGTTAAGATGCAGGGGAGAAGATGCTGTATTTCTTTTACCATTTTAATCCCTTCCTGTCCTGGATGCTTAAGCTTTCTGGAAACGCCACTAGAAGACTTAACCAAGACTGTGAAAGCTGAGGTGGTTGCACACCCAGAGCAAAATGTTCAGCTTGTAGATGCTGAGTTGGCAACTGCACTGGAAAGCCCCAGGGCCAGAAGATCTTGAGGACGTGCCAGAAAGCTTCAGTAGCCAGAGATGCTGTGAGTACAGAAGATGAAAATAGCAAAATAAAGAATGCACATGGAATCCCTCAGCCTTCTTATGATAAGGGAAGCCACTAAGCCCTGCACCTGGGAAATTTCTCCAAAATTCTCAAAATCCCCATGAAAGACGTCGTCAAACAACTGCCTCTTTTCCAAGGAAAATAGGTTGCAAAAGAGCAGGCGGGGTTTTGGCAGGAATATGTCTTCTCTGAAGAATAAAAGCCAATTAGCGTGGTGATACATAGGTTTGCTATTTTGAAACCTCACTTCAAAAGCTGCCTTCTCAAACTCTTCCTTGTTCTGGTTATGTTAGTTTCATATTGTAACACCTGCCAGTTCAAGCCTGTTTGCTCAAACTACAGGTTACTTCCGTATGGTTCATGACTGCTAGCAAAGGATTGCTTCTGGGAGAGGCCTTATCTCCACCTTGTTGATCATGTACATCAACCTTACTGTTGTTTCTCTTCTGCACACTTGCCTCTTTTCACCAGCTGTTGAGCAGCAAGGAGGCACTGCACCATAAAATGAACTGAGATAAAATGATAACAAGTGAAAAGGGATATCCCGGATATGCTCCAATTTCTTAAATCAATGACCAGAGGCATTTTCTATTGCAATGAAATTACTGAGACAAGGGCAGATCCAGTTTTCACTTCCAATAAAATTTCATTACCCTTTTTTCCCAAGGCTTGCATGTTTTTTCAGTATTGACTCATCTCTCCTAAGAGGGAACTGTCAACTGCCATTTGGCCTCAACACTTAAACTTTGCAAATATTTTTTTCCCCAAAGTGAAGAAAAACCATAGTTGGGGAGGGGGAGCAGGGGAAGGATGTATTAATATTTACCAAAGCGTTTGCCTGCAGTGTTTGCTATTGAGTCTTTGAGGCCTTAGAGATTAAGGAGATTAAACTGATCAATTCTTTTACCAAAACCGGATAAATTGCCTCGAATGCATACAATTTTAGCTGGCAAGAATAAATATAAAGCATATAAAAAGTCAGGCTAACATACTGCTCTACTGCAGTCAAGTATACCTCCAAAATAGGTCTCCAAAAATGAATGCATCTGCATTTTTGCATTGTGTACCTTATGTCTTATGAACAAGCAATGGCATCGCTTGCCCATGTTTTAAAGTTCTTTGCTGCCCTGCCTAAGAGATGTCATCAGAAAGCTCAAAGGGGAAAAAATAATATATTGTTGAGTTTTTGATGGCAGCCTTCCCCAAAGTCTGGTGCCCTTCAGATATGTTGAATCACAGTTCCCATGATGCCCAGCCAGGAGGGCCAACTGGCTGAGGATAATGGAACTATAGCTCAACACATTAGAGAGGACACCTGGTTCTAAGGAAGCTGGTTTAGGAAGATTCCTTCATATCTCTCCTGTCCCACACCAACTTGCTGGATGTTCAAAGTTCACTGCCTCTTATTACCTGTATATTTTATTACTTTTTTATCTTCACCCCTTTGGAAGGAACACAGGACAACATGTCCGAATCTTTCTGTCCCTCCCATATTTTATCTCTAATATCAGTTTGCGTTCAACTCCCAGCTCTAGTAACAGGTCAGCTGAATCAAACATTTCCAAGTTACTTTCTATCTGCTGGGTCGAAATACCAGTTCTGGAGTAAGAGAAACTAATGCCAAAGACATCAACGTTACAAGGGATTAAAAATGAATAAATTCAAAATGTAAGACTGGAAAGCCAAGTCTATCCTGAAGAAAACATGACAGTTATTAGGCAGAGCAGGTCTAGGAAGAGAAAAGCAGAAGTGCACGGGCAAGGAAAGTGGGACTAGAATCAGTGAGCCAAAGATAGAGAGAAAAATGAAACGGGGGGCCTAAAAAAGGAAAGGCTGCATTAAAGAACAGAACAGTGCTTAGGAACAGACTCTCAATCTTAGTATTTTTTGCTATAACTATAACGCATAAAATGTCTTCCTAGATTTTCAAGCCCAATCCCCTGGCAAAATCTAAATTTCTACTTGATGTTATCTCTATCAGAGGGGTGCTTTCATCCTCATCTTAAATTGAATAGTGTCAGATGTCCAGCAGGAGATGACTCTAAATAATTCTCCTGAATCCACCTGACTAACCCAGCTAAATTTCTTTATCAAGTCTTTACGTACCTGCACAAACACTTCCACCCATACCAGCCTGCCATTGCATGATCTTCCAATCAGCCCTTTCTAGGTACTTCCATTAGGAGAAGTGTGCTGTGTATGTTCA